GCTACATGACAGTTAGCTTGACAGTTTTGTCCATGTCCAATTAGCCAATCAGCAAACACTAAATATATTAATAATCAAACTGTCAAACACTCAAACTATGTTATTGTCTGGTCGCAAAGTTGCAAATATTAAATATTTCGAAAGAAACACCATTGAAAGTTTCAATCAGGACATCTGAATAACGACAAGAGGTAGAATAAAAAGTGCAGAAAATGTAAATGACCACTGTCGTTTGTGTATTAAGTGTGCTTTGAAACTAAAACACGTGGCAATAGAGAAAATATCTTGTATATCGTCAGAGAATTTTATATTTAAGGCAAGCGAAAGAAACGATTACGACAGTGGCGAAACCTTGGCCGAACAATAAACCGATCACGAATTGTGTTCAGTTCACTTAGGAATCGAAGTTAGTTCTACCTCAGAACTATCCAACCGAGTTTGTAAACCGTGTGGGCGAAAGATCCGAAATGCAAGCGAACTGATTGCCATATTAAATCAAACTAGACATAAACATGTTGCCTGTGTACGTATCGAACAAAATTAAATAAACTGTTGTATAAAAACGTCGGTTGCCAGTATAAACTGTCTTGTCTCCCTAACGAAGCAGTGTGTTAAAGAAAGCCTTAAAATGCGGCCTAGGCATAGTAGTCCTATGCGTAGTAGTCCTGTTATAAAACCTGTTGGCGTTGCAGGAAAGACTATAATAGACAAGATTAGACCGTCTGTATTTATTCTCGTTATATTTTCTCGCGCCAACAATAACAATGTAAAAATCGAGCTTTTCCCATAACCTGTAAACGGCCAAAACATTCTTTCCAAGGAGTAAATATTTAACTGCTACCTTTTGCTCACGTTTGTATCTAATCAATTTGCGTTTTGACATTCAAGAAGCCTTCAGTTTTAAGCGCTGTCTAATGTTTACATAGTAAGGCATATTCACTTTTGAGTGACAGCGGCTCAGTATCGCAGCCAATCTTCAATTCCCGTCCACTGGTGGATGGGTAATTCGATTACACTGCCAAACCCAGCAGGCGGTATTTCCCAGGCTTGCCCAATTTTAGGGACCGCCTGCCATGCAGGCTACATGACAGGAAGTGAATATTTTCACGAAACGTTTATTCTCCACCACAGCAACCTAACTAACTAAATATATTGTATTTATAGTATTTTTATGATTGATGACTAAACTATGGAAATATTTGTTTTTATCATAAATCATAATAATACAATGAATATGTTAGGTTGCTGTGGTGGCGATGGCAATCCTTATGAAAACTACATAATTATATTTAATTAAGCATAGTTTTTCATCCCATGACAATTAATTTTTTTAAGGAAATAAGAACATTTAATTTCTGCCAGGAATATTAGTTATTTTATGCATAATTATCAATTTACCTGAGGTAGTGCATGGTCATTTTCTTGTAAAATATTATACTTAGACAAATTTTTCCTTCCAAAACCACCTCTAAAAGTAACCCTCCTAAATACTATAAGCACTTCAGAAAGGCTGTCACTTTTTGTTTTTGGAAGGTAAAGCTATGTTGGCACTGCCGTTTCAGGGCGGGGTCATTTTCAGGGCGGGGTCATTTTCAGGGCGGGGTCATTTTCAGGACTTCCACCCCGGATTCAGGTTTTGGCACATATTCCATGTTCACCGTCATGATCACATTACCCCAAAACAGTTGAGATTACCTGTGCTAAATGGTTCTAGACTACTTGTTATATGGTCTTGTTATCCTCTGTAAGTTACTTAAATGTTGAAGCCTTTCTTCAACCAACAAAACATCTTTAGTAGCAGCCCACTTATTGAACTTTTTCAAATGAATTTGTCTGCAAACATCATTACGTTTTTCAACAGCTAATCTAAAATAATGATTAGATACATGTTAATATGCATTTTGCAGGAAATCAGGTCGTTCTTAGTTCTGTAAAACAAACTTTGGTTGTATTCCCTTGTGCATCATCTTTCAGTGAGGTACATAGTACACCATGCCCTGGATATATGCTATAATATTCTGTTTGGCATAGCCCCAAAGCTTATCTGCCAGTGACAGAAACAGTGTACCCCAAACTGTAGCTTATAATGAAAATAAAAAATATGTTATGCATATGCTGTAGCATGTGCAGTTCTGTTTTTGTGAACATTGTGGCAACAATGCAGGGCAGATGCACATTGGAAAGTCTTATCATCTCATTTTAATATGCAATGAGATATGATCATTTGCACATTTAGGAATCATTGTACCTTAGCAAAATACATATCAACATCTGTGTCTGTCGGATCTAGCTTCTGAATATATTCTTTATAGGTTGACAGGTTGAAATCCTGTCAAAATGTAATAGAATAAGGCAATAATTAACAAATATGACAGCCGAGGAGGTCTAGTATTCTCAGTGTGTGATCACAATTTGTATGCTCAATACATTCCTGCATACATCTGCAACTTGAGTTTTTACATTAATTGTATGTTTAGACCAATGAATACTTCTGTGCATGTTGTGTATATGGTCAGTTGGCGCAGTGTGTATTGCTTGTTTAGCAATCAGGCGGTGTGCACGCTACGATCGCCAAGCACTGTGGTTGTTTCAAAGAATTAGGCCGAATGCAATTCATTTACATTTGGTCGAGGTCGAATGAAGATCTCTGAATAAATGAATATTAAGTGATGGGAATAAATTGTCTTTTTCCTTTTATAAAATCTTATTCGTCGAAAGTACATATAACTAGGTTTTCAGGGAAAACAGCAGCTGTTCATACATTGTGCATTATACATATAACGCCTTGGCAGTGCCTATATCTCAGACAGGAAATGGTGAGAGGTGAGGAATCAATGATATTTTACAATATACTTCGAAGATTTAATAACTTTGAAATCCTGTTAATTATGATGCATTGTGTCTAGGTTTGTCCGGATATTTAGCAGCCATATACAATTACTAAAAGATTCTGGTGTGGTTCCATTTATTGTGTTTGACGGCTACCGTTGCAAGCAAAAGATAAGGAAACAGCTTGAAGCGGCGAAGCGCGTGCTTATAGTTCTAGTTGAGTTTAGTATTTTATAAGAAATACATTTTTACGGTTGTTTTCCCAAATTAGTGAAAGACAAGAGCGTTAGCAGAAGCACAGAAGCAGGATATCGGTGACAGAAAGAGAAACAAGTTGCTGAGCCAAAGTGCCGAAATAACATATGATGTTGTTGAATGCATAAAGGTATACTAAAGTTTGACTCAGGGGCTATTTTAATATACTGTATATAAGAGCCTTACATAAATGGCTAGCCCTACACTACAGTAAGGATGGTTTTTACCTTGTGCTTACATGAGAATTGAATATTCTTGTATAAAAGCCAAGTTTGAGATGTATATAGCAGTTTTTTAAAATTAATCAGCCCCACTAGCAGGGTTAGCCCTCTTACAAGCCTTGAAGGGCTGGCCCTCATCTCATGAAAAAACAAAATCAATGTGGGTCTTGCCTGGGAGGGCCAGGCCTTCATGTAGGACACATATAAACACCCCCTACTATTATTTTTGTTCCCACGTTTGATATATTATAATAGTAGTTTGATATAATGTAATTGATATTATGTTTTAGCTTTGCTTGTGCCAAAGAATAAAATATTTGGTGTCCCCATATGAAACTGATGCCCAAATTGCTTTCTTGTTAAAGCATGGATATGCAGACTTTGCTGTTACGGAGGATTCGGATCTGCTTGGTTATGGTTGTGAGAAGATTAGCATTTCAGTTTTACGTATGCTGTATGTGACTTGGATAGATGGGTCATTTGTATTTTTTCTTTCTAAAAAAATTAATAGGTTGTCGTCAAACTTGCATTGAGTGAGGAGGGGGAATATTTTGAGCTGAGTAAAGTGCTTGGTGGATTAAAGGTCACAATGCCTCAGTTCATGCAGGGCTGTATTGCTGCTGGATGTGACTACCTGAAAAACATCTGTAGAGTTGGTATAAACAAAGCATTTACCTTTGTGTAGTCTGGTCAATTGTTCCATGAGCTAAAAAAAGGGTTCTCCAGATCTGTATGAAAGGTGGTTTGCAAATGTTGTAGCAGTTTTCATGCACCAAACAGTTTTTGACCTGACTAAATTAGTGGTTCAACCTTTGGCAAAATGGAATAAAGAACCTGACAACCAACTCCAATCCTATTGTGGGGCGTATCCTTTCTACAAATTTTTAGTATAAATTTCCAGGTGACTGTTGATTTTTCTGCATTCTGATTGGTCAAGATTCACTGTCTCTGAAGTGATAGTCACTGGTCAGTGACTATAGCTTTTTTTTCAAAATGGCTGCTTGTTTTGCCGTAGTAACAGAGGAGGAAATTGCCAAAATTAAAGAAGATAGCATTCCGAAAAAACCCAAACAAGCTACAAAATATGGTTTAAAAATATTTCAAGGTAAAATATTAAACTTTACGTGCTTTTATTTGGAAAAAAAACTGATGGCTTAGTCGCAACGTGACACAGAGCCGTGTCTGAGATTTAAATTTTGTAAACAAACTATTTATAGCAAAAATAAATTTATTTGAAGTGAATTTTTATAAAGTTGTGTGGATTATTGTTTGTAAACACCTGGAAATTTATACTAAAACAATTAGTCGCCTCAGGCTCGGTGATTACAAGCCAATATTCACTTCGCCTTCGGCTCAGTGAATATAGGGTTGTAATCACCTCGCCGGCAACTAATTGTTAAATAGATTGTAACGTTGACAAATTTGATGCATGTAAAACAACTATAATGGGTCATTCTGGAAAAGATCAACCCTCCCCTCTATGGAAGAAAGTTCTGCCATCAGGAGGGGGAGGAGAAAAACATTTGTTTGTGATAATAGTAAGTTATTAGGACATCCATCAAGGGTAGGGGGGGGTTAGTTCATATTATTCCTATTTCCTCCACGGGGGAGACATGAATGTTTTCTGGAATTGCTAAATTACACCATTTTGTTAATACATATATGCTCTATAGGCTATATAAAAATTACATTACTATGATCAGTATTATTGACAAGCAGTATGCAAATGACTTGGCTGCAGGAAATATTGACATGAAAAATGGAAACAAACAAAACAGTTTTCCATGTTTGCAGATGGTGAGTTGCACTTATAAATGTGAATCATGGGGGAAGGGGTACAAGCAAAGATTTCATGGATGATGTGAACTACTCTTGTCAAATTTTTGTTTGCCTTTAGATAAATGTACCTGTAACCAAAGATAAATGTACCTCTGATGCCCTAAACACAGGTAAATAGAGCTTAAAATAGTATGAAATTTTTCAGTCCGGTTTCCCAGGATGAAACAATTACATGGAAATTTTATCCTGGGAAACCGGGCTAGCCCTGTTGCAACAAATGAGACATCAGCAAAGTAAGCTGGTATGTAATTGAAACATTATATGATTATTATAGTAAGCGGGCTAAACTGGTCCTTATAATAGTTCCCTTAAAAAAATATGTTTCTACATGAAGGCAACAGTTAATATTTTCTAATTATACGACTGGTGTTCTCTGATATTTATATACAGTAGAACCCCCGCTAACTCGAATTAACCAGACTTGGTGTCATATTTCGTTTATTATGTTAATAATTAAGGTATAAAAGTTTTATTATATTGTTCATCAAAAATACAAAAGGTTTAATTGTGCATTCCTATAACTAAAGTTCTTTTACAGTCAGTATCTTTTTAACTTGGGTGATGGAGGAGGCATGCAATTTCCATGCAAACTAAAGTTCTTTGGACATGAAAAATATGTAGAAATTTACAAAAGGAACTAAAAAAATTAGATCAATAACAATCGTCGCAACTATGTGTACAATCTCTTAAAATTTATGATCATTTATACACCAATTTAAATTGTTGTTATTTGAATAAAAATCCAAGTTACCGGTTGTCAAAATGCTATGTTCTGACATTTTAAGGTTTGCCGGTCCACAACTCGAAAACAAAGTTCGAGTTAACAGGATAAATTTGACCAAGGGAAAACAAAATTTGTTCGAATTAGCGAGGAGTTTGAGTTAAGCGAGTTCGATTTAAGCGGAGTAAATTACTATAAAAAACAGTGTCAGATCCAAGGGGAATTGGATTTAGTTCGAGTTAGTGAGGACTTCGAGTTAGCAGGGGACTACTGTATTTATAATTTTGATTTATAGATGAAGAGACAGAGTTGGATGTCACAGTGACCAGTATTGACAACTCTTGGTTTTCGTGGAGGATGCCTTGTTTTCCAGTAATGTACATAGAGTTTACCAAGGCTAAAATTAAAATAAATGGAAAGAATTTTAATGGCTTGGTAAAAAGAGGGTTAGACATTTCTCCTGGAAAAGTTAAATGTGCTTCGTACTGCCAAGTGAAGATCGATGAAGTGGACTATACAGTTCTCTGGAAATTTTCAAACTGCCAGGTTGAACTATGTGAGGCAACAGCACAGGCAGCAGCAGAACCTATGCCAGCCCCTAAAGAAAGCTATGAGAGTGACACAGACACTCAGCACACTTTACCATTCAAAGTGCTTGGTACATGCCACTCGACATGTAGACAAGATGCCCTTGAGGAAGCGTATTCCTACCTAAACGAATACAATAGGCCAGTTTTTGTCATACTGGAACATGAAGTAGACAATGCATATGACAGTAATGCAATAGCAGTTTTTGTTCAAACCGATTATGAGTATAAAAAGGTGGGTTATATTGCAAGCGAATTTACTAAGTATGTTCACTAGCACTTGCATGATCCCGATTTCACTGTTTCAGTGAGACACATTTGGTTTTGTCGGCTCTTAGTCAGATAAATCCCTCGGGTCCCTCGGGTTTGTATCTGACTAAGAGCCTCCATTTTCGGTATCTAACTCTTACTTAGGTGTTGGTTACCACAGCATTATAAAACAAGGTGGGAAGAGTGGTGACATGTATGATGATGTTATAGCGAAATAATTTGTGTGCATGAAATTTAACCCCATAGATATGATGTAGTAAATGACTGAGCTAATATACAAACCAGATTGTCATCACTGATTCATAATAATGTTAGCAGACAATGCCAAGCAAAGTTCAAATTGTGCCTTCTTGACAATCGTGTGTATGGATTCAGGATGAGATCAAGATCAAACAAACTGGCAATATTTTGATGGCTGGTTATTAAAGAATATTAATGAGAAGTATTTTCAATCAGTCCGGTTAGGTAATAGTCAAAAAGCTATAGCTATATTGTACCATGCAATCGGTTATTATTTATTTAGTATACAGTATGCTAGATATGTGAATATCAAGTTAATTATTGAGAATCAACACAATATACCGGGTGTCCCAAAAAAAAGTACTCTGGTTTGATTCGTAATAACTTCGAAACAAGTAAAGCTTTTAAAGAGAAATAACTTGCATCAAATAGAGGAAGCCCTAACTTAGATGTTGATATATTGCACTTGTATTTCACTTAAAAATTCGCGGAGATATTAATGTTTAAAATCGGGAGCATATTTCTGGATGTGTCTGAAATATGCAAAAAACGGGGTATCAAATATTAATCAAGATTTGCCCGACTGAAACATGCACCATTACCAGTAAATAAATGACACTTGACAAATTGTTTATTATGAAACAAAGTATTGTTATCTACAAAATACAAGGAAGATTTATTCGTCCAAAATCCGCGTGTGTTCCTATAGCACGAGTACGTTTCCTTATTTCATAAGACCACTATAGCTGACTGCATCGCGAAGGATCATCAATCGTTCGTGTTCTGAATTAGGGGATGCTGTCACAATGGAATTGTGAAGCTCTTCTAACTTTGCAACGTTCTGAAATCTTGTTAAGAACACTCGATCTTTTTTCCTTTTTCTTAATCTTAACAAGTTCAGAATAAACTAAGAATGAAACACAATCAAACCATACAACTCCATAAGACATAACAAGCCACTCCCTAGAGACATCCAACATTTTTGGAACAAAACGTAACAAAATAGTATAGCGTTGATACTGTGATGTGTATTTGCAAAATGCAGTATTATTTCCTTCATTAAAAAATAATATTCATCCTGCTCTAATCGAGAAATATTCAACTCTGTTTTCAACCCATGAAAAGCATAAAAAATATAGGCTATTTAAGAAAAATTTAAGCGCCTGCCTTGAATGGTCTTTCATGTACCTTTAAGTTTGTATTAAAGACCTATTAAATACTTGACGTTTATATTTCGTAATATAATACGAACGTGTATATTTCAGGAAACAATGAGCTTAGATGTAAGATGTCCAAATCTACGCCATATCCTTATACAATCCCTGACGACAATTCGCTGAAATACAAGTTAGCCTGATATGTCATTAAACAAACAAACGCTGGAGTTAATACTTGATATGCCGATTTTCGCTAATTTTAGACACATCCCAAAAATATGCTCCCGATTTTGAACATTAATATCTCCGTGAATTTTTAAGTAAAATACAACTGTAATATATCAAAATCTAAGTTAGTCCTTCCTCTATTTAATGCAAGTTATTTTTGTTTGATAGCTTTACTTGTTTAGAAGTTATTATAAATCAAACAGGAGTACTTTTTTTTGGGACACCCGGTATAAACTGATGTTATGCATTACAGGCATTCAATCAAGTACCAATATTTAAAGTCGTCAAGGCATGCCATGGCATGGGAAGAAATATGAAACATGGGAAGAAATATGAAGAGTAAATTGGCACGCACCCTGGAGCACTGAAGCGCTCAAGTCTGTGATGCTCAGTCAAAAATGTAGTATTGTCTTTAAGGGAACTTTCGCCCTCGATCGGTTGGGTGAATCAACTGAAGTTAAAGATACAGTCAATTATATGGCAGCAAAATTTCTTCAAGCTACAGACGAAGCTATCCATGAGGCAAAAAGGAGATTACATCTAGCGGATGAGATCATCCATGCAGCAGGCTGTAAAACTACTACATCATCAGTAGAAACAGCAATTAGAAGCAGTTCGCATTCCCCTCTGAAATCCGAACGCAGGAAAGCCCTTGCCGATGCAGCGGCTGCTAAAGAACAGGCTGAGTATGAGATGATAATCGCACATAAGATCAACGAAAGGAAACAATTGGAAGCAAAAGAAGAACACCGTAGATTAACAGAGAAGGCTCAATATGAACATGATGTGGCAATTCTAGAGGCGAAGAAAACAGAAGCCATTGCAAAAGCCAAGCTGGACGCAATAGAACAATCTATTACTGATGATGAAATAAAGTCGCACAGAGATAGGTCACACAGACCGACATAAAAAGGAACAAACAGCAGCATGGTTGAATGATTTGGTGCTTGATGAAATCAAAACAACCTCAACTGACACTCACCAAAGTCTATCCTCGCCCCAAGTCAGTCCTGCCCTTCCCCCTACAGATAGACCACTTGCAATGCAACCAACACCGGATTCGCCACAACATACTGTTCAGCAATCTTCAGACATAAGCCAACGTGTGGGTCTCATGAGTGCCGCCAATGAAAGATTGTCATCAACTCTTGCTAGGCTCAGCTTACCAAAGTTTCATCCCGATATATTCTCTGGAGATTCCACAATGTTTCATCCATGGAAGACAGCCTTCAAAGGAATGTTAGAGAACTGTGGAGTGGTACCTAGCAACGAAATTAACTACCGCACATATATACGTCTGGGCTACCGCAGGAGCTGGTGAATAGCTACTGTAGAAGACAACACAATCATCTGGAAAATCTACTAAAAAACTTTGGGCCTAGCTTGAAGATAGATTTGGCAACCCAGCAACTATCACCAATGCCTTCTTGGCATAACTGCCCGATTCCTCTAAATTTAGCGACAGAGATAAGCCAAAACTTCAAGCCTTCTCTGACCTTTGAACGGATATAGCAGCGCAAATGGACTATCTTCCGGGCCTCGCTTATCTCAACTACCCTAACGCCTTGCGTCCAATCTTCAGTAACCTTCCTGAATCTATCTGTGCTAACTGGAACAAGTATGTCGTAGAACACTTGTTACGAAGTTACACTGCTTACCTTACCTCTAAATGTAAAGCAAAGGTGAGATGCAGCAAATGTAATAGTGATCGCCACTTAATGCTCCTCCACAAATACTTACTCTCCACATGTAGTGCATCAAAGGAAGTAAAATTTAGCCGTCTGGTTTCAGGATTACAAGTTAAATCGTTGAACGGTAACTGTGAAGATCTACCAACTGTAATTGAATGCAATAACATTCCAAAGGACAAACGAGAAATTCCCACTCCAGAATTGGCCAAGCAGTATAATCATCTGAGAGATATAGCCAACGACATTCCACCTATTCATCCAGACGCTGAAATTCAGTTGTTAATGGTCGGAACGCCCCGGAAATTATGAAAGTAAGAGCATTTCACAATGGATCACCTGGTTCACCATGGGCGCACAAGCTTTGCATCGGTTGGACAATTTGTGGCTATCAATGTATTGACCGCCTTGGAGGTCCCATTCACGTTCTGACTAATCGAATTGTATATCACAACGTGCAAAGACCAATTGGGATTTATGACGCAGCACCCGAAATTATACAAAATCCTGACGTGAAGGATCAGAGAAAATCTAAGATTTCCCCTTGCATACAACACCAATTTGCACCCTGTCCCAATAACTTCTCTATCAAAGATCCTTTCTCCAGGTCTCGGGACGAGATACACGTTTACCGGAGAACAGATCGCGATAACGAGCCTTCATTGTCTATCAAAGACCACCGTTTTCTCGAAGTTATGGAATTGAGTGTGCAGAAGAACGAAGCAGGAAATTGGGAACTTCTCTTACCTATCAAAGCAAATGATGCGAGTTTCCCGAATAACAGATAATTTGTTCTTAACTGTCTCAAGAGTCTAACCAGATCATTCCAGAGAAAACCACAACTGGAGGAAGACCACTTTAAGTTCATGGCAAACCTCTTTCAACGCGGTCATGCTCAAGCTGTCGAAGCCAGTCCACCGCTGAAAGATGCAACCTACACTTCTAAACGTGACAATATATAATACCTGCCCCATTTTGGTGTGTATCATCCCTATAAGCCAAACAAAATCTGGGTAGTCTTTGATTCGTCAGCAGTATTCCAAGGCAAGTCCCTGAATCGCGAGCTTCTCTCTGGTCCTGATTTACTTAATAATCTTTTGGGGATCCTAATCAGATTTAGAAGAAAAGAAATCGGTGTGATGTGCGACATTGAGCAGTTGTTTCATGCTTTCTACGTTTACCCTCTGCATCGAGATCTAATGCGCTTCTTGTGGTATAAAGATAATGACCAAGAAAACGAAATTGTTGACTACAAGATGACTGTGCATATCTTCGGAAACACCTCAAGCCCAGCAGTAGCGACATTTGGATTACGGAGGACGGCAGATGAAGGGAAGGAAGAATTTGGTGATGCAGCGAACAAGTTTGTCCTTGACGACTTCTACGTGGACGATGGAATCATATCTTGTGACACCGTAGGCGAAACCCTGCAGTTGATAACAATCACACGCGATATGTTACACACAGTAAACTTGCGTTTACACAAAATTGCGTCGAATTCTCCAGAAGTGATGAAATTGTTATCTCCACAGGATAAAGTAGAGAATCCGCGTAACCTTGATCCCAGTTATGACCCTCTCCCTCAACAACGATTGTTGGATGTAGTATGGAACATAGAAAAGGACGCCTTGTGCTTCTACCAGAGAAACCATTCACACGTAGAGGTGTTCTAGCAATCGTTAATTTCATATACAACCCCATAGGGTTTGCAATCCCTACCACCCTGCAGGGAAGATTGCTTCTTCGCGAACTTGTCCAGTTAGGGGACACAAAAGGCGAAAACAAGATTCTCGGATGGGACGATCCCTTGCCCAATGATCTCCTAAAGAAGTGGTTAAAGTGGCGAAATTCTCTTGTGGAATTAAACAAATTATCTATACCTAGATGTTATCACCCGAGTGATTTTGGTAAGATAAGACAATTTGAGATCCATGCGTTTTCAGACGCCAGTGAAAGAGCCATCACCACAGTAATCTACGTAAAGTTGGTCAGTGTAGAAGGACATATCAGTATTTCGTTATTATACGCACAAGCGAAGCTTTCTCCGTAGCAAGCGACAACCATTCCCAGGTTGGAGCTCTGCGCTGCAGTTCTGAGCATCAACGCCGTCAAGTGTTAACTCGGGAATTAAAGTTAAACATCACAAAGATCGTATGTTATACCAATTCTAGAGTGGTGCTCGGTTACATCCAAAGTGAAAGTAGGTGTTTCTATGTATACATGGCTAATCGTGTCGAAATTATCAGAAGTATCTCCAATCCAAACCAATGGAGGTTTGTTGAATCAAAGGATAATCCCGCAGATATCGCGACTCCTGGTAAAACACCTTTAGATTTGAAAAACTCTCTCTGGTTCAGAGGGCCTGATTTCCTCAAAGTCAATGATCCACCGGCTCAAGATTTGTCGACCATTGAAATCAATACAGAAGATCCTGAAGTTAGGAAAGAGATATCAACATATGCCAATCAAACTAAGTTGACGGTGAAAGGTTTGGGGTCGGAAAGATTTCAACGATTCTCCAAATGGTCAACTTTAAGAATGGCACTAGCTACACTAATTAGAAAAATAACAAGTTTAAGAACTCAAAAAAACAGACAACTTCGTCCGGACACTCGAGAAACCACGCAACAAATCGCAACACAGCAATATTTATCCTTATCTGACCTAAGAAAAACAGAAAATCTTGGCATGGTAGAAAACGCGGATACCGGATAGTCTTAAATATTTATTTTTAAGAATTAAAATTGTTGGTTATTGTATTTTTAGTCGTTTTCTTTCTCATTTCTAAGATTTTTGATTTCAATATAAGCGAATTAAGTCGTTAAGTCATAAGACTGTTTTTCTTTGCATTTATTTTAGAATTATTTGTCAATAATCGCTCACATTGTGTTTGTGCTTAGTATTAGTTATTACAAAAATGTCAAGTTTATTTTTGTTTACCTTTCTTCAACCATACCTAATGCTACATGTCATTTATTGAGCACAAAGGTTATGTTTTTTTAATAATACCACTCCAGGCCGATATATTAAATTGCATGAGTGTTCTTCAATATATAATATTGTTTATGCGAAATATATCCAGCTTAATATAACGTTTGACCCCTTTCACAGTTACTCGTACGAATCCCTGTGTGAACAAGGTGGAACCGGATGAACTTGAGTACGGTCTAAAATTCGTCCGGTCTCGTGTGAACGTAGCATAGCAATTTGTCTTGACAATTTTGCTTTTGATTCACAAAATCGTGAGAAAAATCAGTCATGGATAGTTATAGTTAATTTAATATTACATATTATGATTAAATGGGCTTCTGGCTATGGTCTGACAAGGGTATTTAATTTTTAAAGCAAAAATTCATAAATAACATAAAAACGCAAAGAGGTCTGGCACAGGCCTGGACGCCTGGCCATAGAGATTATAAATAACACTAGAGAGGGCATCGTAATGTTTATTCAGGCAAAAAAAGGGAACACGTCTAATGGGGAGCAAAAAATTCAAATGCTAAAGTAAAGCCGAGTTTATTCAAAATCGTCAAGACAAATTGCTATGCTACGTTCACACGAGACCAGATGAACTTCAGACCGTACTCAAATTCATCCGGTTCCACCTTGTTCACACAGGGATTCGTACGAGTAACTGTGAACGGGGTCAAACGTTATATTAAGCTGGATATATTTTGCATAAACAATATTATATATTGAATAACACTCATGCAATTTAATATAACCGTATATATCCGTATCCGCGTTTTCTACCATGCCGAAAATCTTATGTTAAAGACAGTTCAGCAAGAAGTATACAGACAAGAAATACAACGTTTGGAGGACTCAAGTAACTCGACAACCCATAGCCAAACAACCTCAACACATATAAAGAAATCTAGTTTGTACCACCTACAACCCTTCTTGGATAATCAAGGAATATTGCGGGTCGGCGGAAGGCTGCGTCGCGGTCATATAGAATATGTAGAGAAACACCCGGCAATTCTTCCTAAATTCTCTCACCTGACCACCATCGCAATTAGATATTAGATAGCTTAAGATCTACGACGTCGACTTCAGCTAGGACATCAGGGCTAAGCAGAGAACTGGGATTAGGATGTCATCCTAAATAAATAAACTTACATGTAGACATTACTTACAACGTAGACATTTAAACTATAAATATTTACATTCTTTTGAAAATGAGTTTAAAATAGACGTGTGAACCATTACCATTTGTTATACTCTTGTATTTACGACGGTAAAACTCTTGTTGTTAGATGGTCAACATTTGGTGGACGACAAGCAAATTGAGAGAGACGTATGCACACTTAAAAAACTATTACCAATTTACTTCCATTTGCCGCCCTAAATATTTGACGTTGTATACTTGAGCTATTATCGACTTATTTAAGACGACATCCTAGTCCCAGTCCTCTGCTTAGCCCTGACGTCTCACACTTTGGAGGAGCCTGGGAATGGCAAATCGGTACTATCCGGCAAGTCTTAGAGGGAATGTTCTCCAGTCTCGGAAGCCATCAATTGACACATGAACTCCTTGTTACGCTCATGGCAGAAGTTACATGCATTGTCAATTCGCGTCCCATCGCCATGATATCAGTCAATCATGAGCAACCACAACCATTGAGTCCGAACTTGCTCCTTACAATGAAAACCAGACCACATTTACCTCCACCTGGTGTATTCCTGCCGCAAGATTTGTACTCAAGATGATATTGGCATCGTGCTCAATATTTAGCGGATCAATTTTGGAGTAGATGGAAACATGAGTACTTGCAATCTTTGCAAGCCAGACCGAAGTGGAATGAAGTCAAACCGAATCTCCAAGTAGATGATCTCGTAATAATGAACGATAATTCTCCACGCAACTGATGGCCTTTCGGCAGAGTAATAGAAGCCATGAAGAGTGAGGATGGAAAGGTTCGAAAGGTAAAGCTAGTCACGACGACAGACGGAGAGAAAAAGCATTACGTACGACCTATTTTTGGACCTGGTATTTATTATGAATGCTAATAAATAATCAGTTTATCATGACATTATTAATAGACAATTAGTGTATAGCAAGGACCTTATCATGTCCTTGGACGAGGAGTGTGATGATACGTCATTTAGTATAGTTTTATGGGCTCTTACCCAGTCTACCAGACCTATATAAACACTTGGACGCAGAATTTGAGTCGTATATTTGCAATCAATCGTTTGGAGTTAAATTAATAGTTTGGAGTTGACATTTACTGTAATTTAATCGTTTTGGAGTTAACTGTTGGAGATATCGGACTATTGGAGTATATAAGTTTACTATCCCGCAAGGACGTAAGTGAATACTTTAGTTTATATGTACTATGTGTTGTGTTTCGTAATCGATTTGTGTAAATAGCTTAAGATATTGTTTGTTATGTTATGTAGTTTTTACCGTTGGTATGAAATAAAGACTAAACTTTGTACTGGCGGTTAGCTGTGCTAATTTATGGAGACGTAACAGGCACAACGGTGCAAACTCTTGTTCAATGCAGTATTCAATGCAATGAGAACTCTACCAGATCTTACAAGAATCTATCTGTATCAAAGCTTTATCAAAGCTGCTGTAAGCAATGCTATAACTGTGAAACTGTTGACATCTAAAATGACATTGAAAAGCAACTTGATCTTGGCCTTGGGAATATATAAAGTCAAATGTCAGTGAGACTTGTTATTGTGAAACATGTCTGTCACAATTAGGTTAAAATGCGGATGCGGAACGGATATGGGGATAAAATGTGGAATGAATATGGGCATAAAATGAATCATAATGAGTTCTTCGCCTGATTTTTACATTTCTGTGTTTTTGATTTGTTTTATTTTGCAATGGATGCAACATCATATTAACTAATTATACAGCAATTTCAATTAAAGAGTACTCACTGAGACAATAGTGAAATGTGCAATATGGGTCCTGAAAGGATGATGGGAATAATCATAGTTTTAAATAAGTTTAGTATATCAGTAGCCTGCCTCATGGGGATACTTTCAGCCACAGCTCCCAATGCAAAATTAATGTAGTTTTAGAATATACAAAATTTGGTTGTTGGTGAAACAATTTAAATTTCGAGTTGTTGTGTGTAGCATCACAATAAATAAATAAATTGTCTCAGTTCCACAAGGCATGGCATGTTAGACTTGTTTCAAACATCATGCTACTTGTGTGCTAAACGCATTAAAAACAATAGACAATGAGATGAAATGCCTAGTGAGTGTAAGCCATCAGCTTTACAAAACAGAAAGTCATCATGCCCAAATAAGAGCTCTTGCAATTCAACATTTAATAAAGAGTTATGAAGGGAGTCGCAAGGAATTGATTATCTCGTAAAAATGTTGCTCTAATCCACATTTTTTTAGTAACGTGCCTGCTGTAGCCTATGCCTGCTCTTACTATTCCAGGTTGTCGGCAACCCTATACAGTTCTTGCTGTGTCTTTTTCAATTTGAAACTCTACACTATCCTTGGATCCCTAGTTAAAATTCCAACAGTAAAAAACACTGACAGTGACTACACAAAAGAGAAAAAACTCCACACACGATTGGCATGGATCAAATGTATGACCAGAACACAAGTTTTGGATGCTGATCTTCAATGCCAAATTGACGAAAATACTATACACATTTGCGAAATCCACTTGAAGGAAGAATATATCATTAGACGTAAGTGGCTTTTTTGTTAAACGAAATTAATTTTGTTATGTAATTCTATATTTAATACCTAATTACTTAGTAACATATTGCCGTAATGTCACTCGAGTGAGTGCATAAACAAACAACCATTTTACACTGAGAATGAACAATCAGTTAATTTTTTCAGTTTACGTGATTTAATTAACAAATTGGAGAGCTATACATTCTGTGCTGGTGTTCCTAAGCCAAACTGTGTGGCAAAAACTGTCGAAGACCCATCAGGACCTCAAACCTCAGGAAAGAATATAATTGTGCATCACACAATTCCTGTTATTAAGGATGCTGATGAAGATACTGATACCACTGCTGGAGATGTTCAACCCTTGCCCTTTAAAGTTTGTACATTTTTCCAAACAGAAAAATGTGAGATGCTCTGCCAAGCTAGCTTAGCTTGGAAATCTGTAATTCATGCTCAGCTGCTAATGATAGGTGTTTAAAGGAACTGGAAAAAAGAATTCTCTTCTTGCCACACCTCTGCCCAAAAAAGCACCCCTCTCACTATGTTCTGTTCCACGTTTAGTAGCTACTATTTCCCAATAAAGCAACTGGAGGAAAGAATAAAACAAATGGAAAAAAGAATTATCTGCATATGGAATAAAATTAAGCGAAAGTGTAGAAAAAGACATCACCTTGATAATTTCCCAAAATTCCCTGGATTGTTCTTCTCATATGAAGCTATTTTGGGAACAGCAAAAAAGAGTTTTGCTGCTAATCCTAAAGGCAGACGTTACCACCCACAGTTTGTCCGGTTTTGCTTGTCACTGTATGCAAAAAGTTCAGCTGGCTACAAGGAACTACAAGATGTCTTAGTATTACCAAGTGAAAGAACCCTTATTAACCATAAAAATCTTTTTAAGCCCAAGCCAGGTATTCACAATGGTAAAATAAAGCAGTTGCAAGATCTAGTCTCATCTTACTCAGGGTGTAAGAGGTATGCGACAATTGTGTTTGATGAGATGAAAATAAAATCTTCCCTCGTTTTTGATAAGAACAGTGGTGAAATTGTTGGATTCATGGACCTTGGTGACCCTGAATTGACTTTTTCTTCATTTGAAGATGATCAACAAATTGCAACAACAGTTATTGCATTCTTAGTAAGAGGGCTGATGACTTCTTGAAAGTTCATTCTGTGTTATTTTTTCACATCAGCAGTTGTGTCAGTGCTGGAGCTCAGAGTGGATCTTTGGTGTGTTGCAGCAACAGCAGATGGTGGTTCGCCCAACAGGAAATTTTTCAAGTTACATAAAGGTCTACAAAATCCTTTACATGCTGGGGTTATTTATTATACAATTAACCTATTTGCACCACAACTAGACCGCGAGTGGTCCCTCGAAGAAATGAGGGACTGCCGACAACAAAATAATAAATGAAATATGCCCACTTTTCGCTCTTGTCAAATTGGCTCCGCCTTTGCATAAACATTACTATATCCAATTAAATCTATGCAATAGGAAACCGTTAATGTCATGTTTATTTACAGGGTGTATAAAAAAAGGTAATCGAACTTCAGCGCGCTATTGTACCTGAATTACTCGGCATATGAACATTTTTTTCATATTCGAAAAGATGAGGCTTTTAGCTATTGAATGACATGTTTTCATGCCAAATGGAGAAAAAATAAGCAAGTACGAGTCCGATAAAAAATGTTAGTCAGAATCGCATATTACAACGGTGAAAATATGCGATCTGACTAGTGCTCGCAGTCTACACCACAATGTAAACTTTACTTTTTTTGCTGATGTGCCACATCTCATTAAAACAACACAAAATGGTCTTTACTCATCTGGCTGAGATGTTGGGCATATTCACACAAGATGTATGTGGAATAATGACAAATACTTGTTGTGGAGCTTTATTGCACAAGCATATTACCATGATCAGGAGGGGCTTCTACAACACTTACCAAAAATCATACACAGATGCAAATGATGAGCGACTTACATGGATGACTGATGTGTTTTTACCATATTTAGATCAGTGGAAAACAAATGTTTCCAGCAGACCAGGCTTTACCAAAGACCAACAACAAACCATTCTCTCTAGTCAGACATATGAAGGATATCAAATTACAATAAATTCGTAAAGTGAATCTCCAGCTTGGAGTACAGCCCAGTACTTGTCGCTTGGAATTTGTCATCCAATCTATAGACTTTCGACTATGTTAATGTAGAGTACATAGAACATATCCATCGAGGTATTGCAATGCTGCTTTTTCCTTACAGTAGATTTATGTTCTGATGACACTTTACTACAATTAGAATCTTTCTATGTATTCTTGTCAGCTAACCTGGTGACATGCAAAACTGAGGACTGGACAGGTAACTGCGGGAAATACTCTGATGCTATGGATACAACATTTGCAAAATACATGGCATAAAACCTTTCAACCTTTTCTGACCAAAGAGTGCAGCTTCATAATTCTTGACTTTGAGAAAACCTTTGTTTATCTTCCTTTCCAGCAATATTAAAAACATAAACCTTGAAACTTTCCCTAACACTTTCTGCATATCAAGTGTTTTTCTCTAAACTCTTACAACTTTGATTTACCAGGTTAAAATCATCATCAATATTGAATATATTGTCATTGTTGTTGGCGTAGCGTAACACTGGCACAACTCAGTATTTCCTTCGTCTTTCATGCTTTGCATTTTTATGCCTCGTCAAACCAGCTTTACTTTTGCACTTTTTCCCACAAAAATTGCAACAAAATTCACCATCTGTCACCTGAAAATACATGGAAAAAGCATCAAAATATAAATATATCCCATTTGTACCTGGCAACCTGAGAGTGTAGAAATATGTTGCACAAAATATAAGTATTGACTAAGCGGCCACGTCCATATTCATGTTGCCACGAATAACGTCGAATCGACGTTATCACCAGTACCCACCCACCTCAGATAACGTCGATTGTTACCCTGTTATATTTTGACCGCTAAAATTGACCGCCTCTTATTCTTATATTAAAATATGGTATATAATCAATCAATTTATCTCAGAAATGCATTAAAATGCTGAGGCTTCAATTCAAAGTTATTGACTATTGTACTTGCCTTTATAAAATATGAGAAGTTTTATCGCAGAAAAAGGTTGCGATTCGCAAACACAGATTGACGGGTATTTGACACGAAAAAAAATGTCGCTTCAATACTTCGACCTTTGTTTTGAACTCTATTAGTTGAAAATAATATAATACTGGCAAAAGTTGCACGGCAAATTTAAGCTTTGGTCTGTTCGGATGTATATAGCCAAATTGCCACGAGATAACTTCAAGGAGTTGATGTAAAAACCCACCCACCCATAATGCCGATTCGATGTTATGCGTTGCAACACGAATATGGACGTGGCCCCTAAGTATGTTCGACAGTTCAGTCAAAATGATGTCAACTTACTTCTTCGATCGCTTCTTGGAAAGCATCTTGTAGTTCTTCCTCCCTGTCTAAAGCATCAGAGTGCAACAGCTCTAAAACTGCATTGATCTCATTCTCGCATGGCTCTTTACATTCTGCCAGCTTTATTTTTGTGCACGGTGTAGTACCATGAGACACCCTAAATTTGCTTGGCACAACATATGCACAGCATCTTTTGAAGTTCAGGAAGTCTCCAGACCACCCCCTTGAGTGACTATGGTCCTCATTATTTCACCCATTAGCGTCAGTACAGGAGTTGATGTTGCCGCAGCCACTGGTGAAAATCGGTTGAGCCGTCAAATCTGGCAAAATGCTCATCCTACTTGAGTTACAGGTTGAAGGGGTGTCTGGTTCTGACATACTAGGTCGCTCGTCGGAGTTTGCTTGTGTATCAAGCATGTTAAAAAAAACTATCCCACCACTGCCAGACACTGGTTTCAATATTCTGTATTTATTTTATCACACACTCAACATCACACAAAGCTGACTTACAACATAACTCTTAGATTACAGATTTACCCCTATATTTATATTACCTATTTCTAACTGATTGTAGCACTCAACTGTCTACTAATATGTTATATATACTCGCAAAAATAAAGAGGCAGAATGTAAAGAGGCAATGACATTGTGAAATGAGAGAACTCAATAAGGATTTGTAAAGAACAGCTCATTCAGGGTGGCAATTACTGTTTTAAAAAATAAATAATATATAGCAGCATAGCAGAATGCAAATCTTAGGCATGTTCATGTGGAGGTGAGCTACCTTTCTAGGGGAAGCCTCACAACATATCGATTGTGTCTACAAGAAACGTCATATGTTGTTTTTTTTTTTGGGGGGGGGGGGTTGCTGCTGTGATGTTTGTCATGGAAACAGAGCATGACATCATACTGAATTGTTTTGTTAGAAAATAGTTTCACTAGCTAGAACTTCATTCTTCATCATTCTGGGAATATCCAAAGAGTACATAAAGAGTACCATTGTTGATTGTTATTAGTTGCTGTTGGTAATTAGTAATTTATAATATACTAGTAATATACCATTTATAATATACCAATATTACTGTTCTTCCTGTCTGGTCTCTTGATGATGGGTTCTTGGCAAGTTGAAAACTATAAAACAAGTTCACATAATATTCTAGTCGTAGATCTTGTTGTTGCTAAGTAAGTTGGTTAGAAAGGTAATGCCTACGATTTGTGTTCTGCAAGTGCCGTAATAGTGCTCCCCTGAGTGAGCTGTTGTTTACAAATCATTATTAAGTTCTCTCACAATGTCACTGTCTCTATAAAACTGTAGGCAGAGCAAGAGAGGTCTTAGTGAAATATATTTCTTAAAATTGCTGAAATTTTACATTCTCCCTGCTTATTTGCCAGCATTTTTGCAAGTATACACATGTCACTTGTTTACATCCATGAAATGTTGAGGCTTAGCTTGAATGCTTAAATCACTAATTGACTTCGAGTTAAGCCCTGGGGTTTAACTTGAAGTACTAAAACAACCCAACCTTGATCCCAGGGCTTTTGTGTAAGGCAAGGTGAGAGGAGAAAAAGCCCTGGATAAAGGTTGTGATATCACTGATCCATCAAATTTTAGACCTATTTCTATGCTATATTTGTTCGCACAAATCTTTGAAAAGTTAGTGTACTCACAAATTTTGAGTTACCTGGAATAACAACATTTTAAGTAAGCTTAAATTTGGTTTTCGAAAAGTTAGATCAACAGAACATGCTATAGTGGACATAACTGATGTCAAAAAAGTGATTGATAAAAATCTTTAAACATGTGGAGTATTTCTAGACTTTTCCAAAGCGTTTGATACAGTTAATCTCCAAATATTGTTAAAAAAATTAGAAGCATATGCTATAAGAGGAACTCCCTTACAATGGTTTACTAACTACTTAACTAATAGACAACAATATGTATCATGATTGAATAATCTGAAACCACTTAAACAAACAATGACATGTGGAATCCCACAGGGAATTTCCTTGGGTCCACTGCTGTTTTTAATTTACATAAATGATATGCCAAACTGTTTGAGTAAATTCTTTTAGGATATTTGCTGATGATACTAACATATGATATGCATATCAATCAAATATGTGTATCATATAAATATGTGTATCATCATATGAATGTGCGCATCATATGAATACACATCATACAATCGTGCATATCATACAAATACACACATTACAAACAAATATTAGGGCACTATAAAAATGATATACGTGCGTATAATAATTTGCATATTAATTCTGATACATCCAGGTATACTGTACATATGCGCACAAACGCTTAAAGCAAAGTTAGTAGTGAACAGCGCTGAACACTACAGTATACTATTAACTCTTGACGAAGGGCCTTCACTCGAAATGTCGAGTTTCTGCTTGTTTTTTAAGTAATATAACCAGCACAGCACTTTCACATTGGTACTACCTACATGGGTACAGACAGTTTTAGTATATAAAGTCATATTAAAATATTCAAGTGCATCTCTTATTTTTCATAAGGCTGACCCATTACCTGACTGGAAATTATTCGTTTTACTATCTGATTTTATTTCTACCTCGACTTGTTCATATAATTTACGACGGCTTTAATTTCAAAATGCGCACAGCCGTACTTGGCTTCCCTTAGCATGTTGTTATGAGCCAAACACAAATATCAGATATTCCATCGT